GAGAGAGTTGTTGGAGGATGGCTGCAAGTCTATGAGAGAGAGAGAGAGAGAGAGAGAGAGAAAAGGGAGGGGGTGGGAGAAAGCCAGAGAGAGAGAGAGAGGAGGGGGAGCAAACTGACAGACTTAGAGAGAAAGAGAGAGACAGAGAGGCAGAAGAGAGATAGAAAGAAAGAAACAGGGAGAAACCTAATTTTTATCCTATCGTGGTTTTGGTGTTTTGTTTTGGACGAGGTGGGTTTTTTTTTTTAGCTTTGGGGGGATTTTTTGGGGGGTGGGGGTTAGCATCCCAACGAACCAATGACTGACCTGTGTCCACTCCCCATGCGCCAGGAACCATCGGGGCATGGAGGAGAAGATGGACGCTGCCACCAGCCGGCTAGAGATGTTGGAGGCTGAGCTGAGACTGAGGGAGAGAGAGATGGAGGAAGCAGAAGCACAGAAGGAGAATATGGAGAAAGACATTCACAGTCTCAAGCAGAGCGTGAAAGGTGAGACATGAGGAAGGGGAACGTGTGTAAAGTGGAGAACACTGTAGACGGTGGACTTAAAGCATACTGTAAAAGGTGGACTAAAGGAAGTTTGTGACTTATAGCATACTGTAAATCGTGGACTAAAGGAATCTTGACCAACACCAAAAGTGGGCATTGCCCTCGAAAAGGAGAAGTTTGGTTTCATTGGTGTGTATATTTGTTTGGTTATAGAGAAAACTCCCCTTGTCTTTTAAAGAAACTGAACTATGGGTAAAAGCTTTAACTTCAAATTTTTCAAAACATCATTTCTCGGGATATCCCCCGTATGCTTAAAAGCGACCAATTTTGACAATGACTGTTTTGTGTGTTCCCAGAGAGCAAGGCAGAGCTCAAGTCTCTACAGGACAACATCAGAGAGGCCGAGGAACAGATGAGGGGCTTGGAGCAGGTGGGGGATTGTTTCTGTGCTCTGGACCCGCCCCCTCATACCACCCCTTCCCTTCTCTCTATCTCCCTCTTTCTCTTTCTCTCTGTCTCTCTTTCTCTCACTCTCACTCTCTTTTTCTCTCTCTCTTTCTCACCCTCTTTCTCTCTGACTCTCTTTCTCACTCTTCTCACTCTTACTCTATTTTTACTCTCTCTCTCTCTCTCTCTCTCTCTCTCTCTCTCTCTCTCTCTCTCTCTCTCTAACTCTTTCTTACTGTCTTTCTCACACTATCTACTCTGGGCCCGCCCCTTTACACCATACTCTCTCCTTCCAAACAGTTCCTCTCCAGAATAATAGTTCGTCCACCTTCAGCATCTGACAACAATCACTTTATCAGCACAGGAGAATATTAATTCTTAAAGAAGAATAGAAGAAATATGAACTGAACTGATTTGTGACTCCCGCCATGGCCAATAAAACCTTCAGACCACACTCTCTAATTCCTTTGCCCCCCCCCTACTATTTTTTCCTCTTTTACATGACACTGTGTCATTACCCTGGCCCCCACTCCCCTCCACCCCCTCCCACGTCCCTAATCCCCAACTCCTTCCTTAAAATCACGCTCTCTCCTCGTGTTAACTCCGCTCCCCTTCCACATCTACCTATCTCTCACAAACTTAACTCCGCCCCCTTCCATATCTCTCTATCTCTCACAAACTTAACTCCGCCCCCTTCCACCTCCCCCTATCTCTCAC